TATAATACTTCACCAAAGACTCAGGGAACTATTCCAACCAAGATTGGGAGCATAATGCCCGACCAAGGTGTTCCCGAATACTGGCTGCCCCCATCCACTTATTAGACCAAGGTAACTCCAGATCATTCACAAAATTTCTAAGCGAAGCAGATCAGGCTGAGTTCCAAGGATTCCCGCCTTCTTTTTCTGTTCCCAAAAAGATGGCATTGAAATCACCTACCACAAAGGGTAATTGGATTTCTTCGTATAGATTCTGAATATAAAGCAATTGCGCCGCGTGAATAGCATGATTGCAACTGTATACGCACACTACCACATAAGAAATATCATTCTCATTAATATGAACAAAGATAAACTAGAATGACTCAAAACCAGAGCGTCAACTCCGGGGGACCAACCCACAAGAAGACCACCAGATGCATCAACCTAATCAACAAAGAAACAACTCGAAATATCAAAACCTAAGCCTCGCATCCTATGATACACGACCCTACGACTCGGTCTTGTTTCCGAAAGGAAAACTAGATCTGGCTTATTTGAATGAATTAAATCTAAAGTAGAACGAAATGTGAGGGTTTACCCAATCCCTCTCACATTCCAAGCCATCATCCTCATTTATCCACATGGGGCCATTCAGGATTGTCTACCTCCACCTCTTCAGTATCTTCTTCCACTTCAGCAAATTGACGGTTGCCCACTAGATCCTCTTTTTGGACCTCATCCATTTCTTGCAAAGCCTGCTTCCTCGATCCCACCACCAGATGGCCTTCATTAGACTCATACTCATTGAGATGCAGGTCTGCAGCTAGTCGGCTCCCTTTGGGCTCTTCTGAGTTCGCTGATCCATGTCCAACACCCTTAGCAATCTTCGTCGATGCCTTACCTTCAAAGGATTCAATAGCACGCCTCACACGATCCAACCCGGTACAGCTGATCCAGCCAGCACAATGGTCCCTCTTCATTTAAATGCAACAAGAATTTAATACAAAAAATAACTCTAATTAATAGGGGGTGTTATTTTTCAACCCCTTAGAGGGTTAGCAAGCTAATCTACCCCTATATATGTCATTTATGTTATAACGCATAAACGGTTCTATATATCAACGGCTAACCAGCGATTCTATAACGATTAATCATTGAACCATCAACCTCTAACCTTTTCGATTCAGCATCCGTTCCACTCTGGAAAAAAAACTCAAATTTACATTATCACTTAATTCCCATTTTACATCAGCAAAACATCATTATATCCCCACCCAAACAATAAAAACATCCATATTAGTTATCATTTATTGAACACAATTTTAACTTTTGGAAACTTATATTAGTTATCTTGAGTTTTTGTATTTGTAATTATTACTATTTGAAGGACTTCTCTTTACACTTGAGATAGCTATCAGAAGAGAAACCAAATCTGAGAAAATATCCACAATATATATATATATATAATAGCAACATAACATTAAACAAAGATGCATTCTCATACAAACAACGCAGTCCGACCACAAAAGACTGAGGTTCGTGCTGAGATGGAGATTATGGTTCTTACTAGTTATATAATCATATTATTTAGATGTGTAAATAAATAAATTGCTCTTCAACTACGACTTTTTTCTCCAACCAAACCATTTAAAATCCGAGGGTGGGATGGGCTTTAGAGATCTACATGCTTTTAACATAGCACTAATGGGATGACAAGTATGGAATCTACACAAAAAGCCTATCACCCTAGTTGCTAGAGTCCTGAGGGCAAAGTATTATTCCTACTGTTCCATCTTAGAAGCCACAGAAGTGTCAAATCCGAGCTACATATGGAGGTCTCTTATGGCAGCACAAGATCTAGTGAAGGAAGGGACAAGGTGGGGGATTGGAGATGGCAACCAGGTTAGGATCTGGTGGGATGAATGGATTATAGAAGCACAGTGTTTCAAAGTCGAGTCACTAGTGTTTGATTTGAATTGGAATGCCAAGGTGGAAACTTTGATAGATACTGAAACCAGAAGCTGGAAGAGCAGCCTTATGTAGAGCTGCTTCCAACAAGAGGGCAGAAAACGTATTCAACAAATACCAATTCTTAACCATCCTAAACCGGACATTTATATATGGGAAATGGAAAAGATAGGAAAGTATTCAATCATATCAACCTACTACCTCAATATGGAAAGAACAACAACAATAGAAGGAGAAAGATATGTACCATCAATTGGAAACAAGTATGGCAACTAAAACTACCGTTTGCAGTTTGAGTTTTTATCTGGCGATAGGGAAGTAACATTCTCCCTAGTGGAGCAAACCTAATGAGAAGGATCAAAGATGTAGATGATAGATGTCCATTTTGTGGACTAACGTTTACTCAAGAACACATAACCCAAGATTGTGATTGAGCGGGCAGAGTTTCGAGACCTAGTTCTATTAGCAAAAAAATTCAATTGGGGAGAGGTTAAGTCTTGTGATGAATGGATCTGTGAAGCTATGGAAAAGGTGAAGAGGAATTGTTTGGTTTTGTCATGGCCATATAGTTCTTGTGGAAAGAGCAGAATAACCACTTCTTCAACAATCACAAACTCGAGGAGTGGGAAATTATAGCTAGATCGGAGAACTTCTTAGAGGAATTTTGGCTGGTCCAAGCTAAAGACAACACGATTCAAGGGCATAAATAGATCTACAAATGGGAGAAGCCGAGAGAAGGTACCTTTAAGGTTAATGTCGATCCTATAACTTTTGCCGACAGAGGAAGAAGATTTGGAACGATCATCGAAGATGGGGGTGGCTGCTTTCACATTGCGGTGGTATCCCGAACTTGAACCTCCTGGACGCTGGAAATTGCAGAAGTTCAAGACCTGCTTTGGTAAATGCGTCTAGCCCTCGAGCATATGGATTTCCCCCAATTTTGATGGAGTCTGAATGTAAAACTTTGATCGACAAATTGCTGAGAAATGAAGAATCAGAGATGGAGATAGGTACAGTCTACAGGGATATCAAGTTGCGCGCAGAGGAAAGAGGGGGAAGTGACGTGGCACTTCTAGGGGAGACAAGGGAACGAGAGTGCACATCAGATGGCCCGCGTATGGTGTCATTTGGAGTAAACGGAGGGATGGTTTGGAAGACAACCTATTTTTCTTTTTTCCACAGTTAAAAGTGGATTGTAAGGACACCATTTCAGCTTAAATGAAATTCCATGAGTTATAAAAAAAAACTTTACTTTTTTCCAGGGTTCAAGAAGACGCGCCTAGGCGCACACCTAGGCTCAATTAGGCGCTAGGCGGTGGAGGATCGTCTTGACTTGGCCATAGGCGTTGTAAAAGGCGCTGGTAGCGCTTAGTAGGTAGGAATAGTGCTTAGTTTGCACCTAGTGGAGAGAAGGCGTGCCTGGGCGTTCCTGGGCGAGCTTAGGCGGTTAAACCCAATACTCTTCGTTTTGCCCTAGAAATCAGAAACTTGCCTCTTGCCCTAGAAAATCAGAAACACGAGAAGTAACATCTGCTGCCTCCTGCCGCCCTAGCTCTCGCCCTTGCTGCTCTCTGCCACCGCAGGAGAAAGTCATCGATCACTCTTCTCGCCTTCACACCGCTCCGCTGCTATAGTGGGAAATAAAGTCGAAACTCGCCAATTGTTGCTCCTTCCTTCTCCTCGGTACGTAGCACAAGCTTCTTGCCTCTATAAGCACCTATTAGCATATGACTGGTCACTATTTGCTTGTTATTTGTTATGTTAAGTGTTTACTGTTAAGAACTAGGCATTGCTAATTTTATATGCACTTGGATTATATGAATTATTCCAGAAAACAGGAAATATTTGAGAATTTTTCCATTTATGCTCTAAACGCATAGGCTACGCCTAATCGGGCAAGGCGCAAGTCAGGAGCCAAGCACCTCCCTTACGCCTAGTGCCTTTTAGAACCTTGCTTTTTTCTCTAATCAAGGCAGTTGTCAAATATAAATTTGGGTAAATATAATTTATTAGTCAAAATTTTCAAATTATTAGCTAAGTTTTTCGAAATACAATTGTTAACCAAATCTCTTGTAACACATCAAAATATTAGTCATTTTTATGTTATTGTTAGCAATTTTGTAAATCTTTTTTTAGTTAAAATACTAAAATTTTAGAATGTTGATCTCCACGTTTCTTTTCCAAATGAGTATCATGTTGCCAAACAAACTGTTAACGTGAAGTTAACATGTGGCTAATATTTTGTAATTCAAAATATTTTATTAATAATTTGAAAAGATTAAAAGGTTGTGTAGGGAATTGCAGTACGCGTACAATTGGAAGGTTAAGACAAGACAAGGCTCACCTACTGAATCCACCAACCGGCTTTCTTTCTGGTTTTGGCGGAAAACATAACATCAGAGATGTAGTGCTGCCACACACTAGCAATGTGTAGATGAATGAGGAATGCTTCATTAATTACTACTAATATTGCTTATTTGAGATGCATGAGGTTAACGGAGCTTACGAGATGTTACGTCATAGTGACTAGCGAGCCAATTCGATTACAACTTATTAGAAAATCGATTTATATTTTATGAGTTGGTTTGTTAATGATGCATAGAATTATGAAATTGTATATATCACCTCATATGGTGTTTAATACATTGAGTATATGTAAGAAAATACGTCTCATATATGACATTATATTAGGTAATCACACGTATCACATATGACATATAAATATTAGAGTATTTATTTTATAAATTAGTTTAGACTGCAGCCAAACTTTTGATCTTCATAATGAGTCAAGATTTAATAAATGAGTTGGTTTGTTTTCGACTCGACTCAGCTCGTTTATAAATGATTCGAGCTCGAGATTCGGCTTGTTTATAAATGAACCCAACATAAACAAGGCGAAACTCGGTACAGCTCGGCTCATTAACAGTCCTTCGATTATCAAGACCATGGGGGGCAGTTGACCACCTAGACCAGGAAATGGAAGATTAGCCGCTTAGGCCCAGAAACCCAACCTAATAAGGTTCAACTAGCTTATTTAACGTATAATTTGAGCTGGTCTTATAAATTCATTAAATCGCTTGTAATTAATCGATGTGATATGAGATTAATTTGTAGGTGTAAACCGTTTGAAATAAGTTAAATAACGAAGGTTAGAGTCTCTAATAGTCAAAATAGCCGTGGTTAAGTACTTGCTTTGTTGGATTTAAGGCACTACTCATGCCCTCCAATTCAAGTATATTAAAGCATTGGGTTGACTTCCTTTTCTCTTTTTTTTTTTTTTTTTTTTGCCACGTGATGAGGACAAATATATCGTCGGAGGTCGGAGACACTGTGGGAGTAAATACTAAACTCGAGAAAACTACAGGCAACTTGAAATATTGGTGACGAAAGCTAACATCAATTAATCAAGTGTCCTGGCCGGAGAGGAGTATTTGGTTGAATTGTAATTTCCCGTGAAGTAAAAAGTTGATGAAACCAGCGTAGGACAGTAGCTAGAACACGACGCCCGGTGCCGTGGTCGTCGGTGAGTCGCGCGTCCGATCGAGGTGAGCACGGCGGATCACCTCAGGTCCTCAATCTCACATTCACAGTCGGATTTATCACCGTGGATCTCAAACTCCCAAGCGTGGCTTCTTCCTTCCTTGTTCGGCTTATGGTGTCTGATGTCATCAAGTACGGGCGTAGAGCCCGACTTGGAGTCCATTCCCAGTGTGGAAACATCAGGTTTGATGGCACCATAAGCAGAAGAACGAGGATGGAAGAAGCCAGGCTTGGGAATTTGAGATTCATGGTGACAAATCTGAAAAATTGATGACAAACCCAGCAAGGAGATGATCCAGGGATAAGAAAAGAAGAGCTAGATAGCTTGTAGAAAATTAACGAAGAGAAGGTGGAATGTGGTATAACTTTTTCATCGCGGTTCACCCTTTTTAAATAGAGCGGAGATGCGGTTAATTACCGAAGAGTCACCAGATTAGAAGAAAGTGAATGAAATAGTCCTTGATTTCTCGATCTTTTTCTCCATTGACGTTAGCAGTTTCACATGGGCAGTTATTAATGTAAATGTAAAACGTATACGGTATACCATTTATTACACATGTACCACACAACAAAAATGAATTCATATTAGTCAATTATCAACAACAACAACAAAAAATCATATTAGTCAAGACTTCTATTCTTCATAGTTTCTCTGAAATAGTATCCTTCCTGAGTAAGTCTTTGGATATGAATAGCTGATTATTTTGGGATGCATTAATACATGCACATGGCCAATCATATGCTCCTTACTGCTAATATATTATCTTTGGTGTATGGTTTATTGTACCTTGGCACAAAAAGTTTCTTGTGCCTGGATTAGTGGATTAAGTATAATTTGACTCTGAATTATGAATAAATTAATTATTTTCTTCAAGAAAAAAAAAACAGACTAAACATAAACCAAATGTATTTTTTGTCCAACTATTATCTTCAACTTTATTTTAATTTTTATTGGATATGATCCAATCAGGATTTAATCGAATCAAGTACTGGGGTCACCCTTAAATGAATTAGATAAGTTTTTTACTCTCAAAATTCTTCTTACAAAACTGGATTTCAGAAGAATTTATGTTGATGAGTAGCTTGAATAACAAAGTTTTAAGGTATGATTAGAATAACCAAAAAGCTTCGCTTTATTCGCTTTATCATTGAGAATCGATTGACACCACAAGTTTGAATGTTTAGGGGAACTTCGGGTATGGAGAATTGAATGACAAGTGGGCGTGTGGTTTTTGGAGTTCTTCGACAGATGGAACCACTTTTCTCTTTGTGGGCCTAGACAATCGTAGGCCCGTTCAGCAAAGCGAGAGAGGGAATGTGCAATTTTCTGTTTCCAAAATTATCCTCCGAGAAACGCTCTGGAAGTAGAGATTTTGACATGAGACTCCCTTTTTTTCTTTGGTGTATTATATTATGTGTAGATGGGTATAATGGGTACCCATATTATCCAAACGGGTATTTGCGGGTAACCCGCGGGTAACCAAAGTAGGAATGTACAATCTCACGTCCCATCCGTTGATAACATTACGGGTAATATGGGTACTCGTTACCATAAAAAAATGGGACGGGTACATGTATACCCAAATACCCGTTACCTGTTGCCCACCCCTATTCATCATGATCTATTGGATCTAAAAATTTCTGGGAGAAAAAATACATGACCAAAAATACCACCTCATATCACCCTGTTATAGGGTGGCAATTGGTGGTAAACAATGTTGAATGTAGTAATGACAGTTAGTATATTCATAATATCATGTATTGAACCATCCTACGGTCTTGTATGTTCATACCACTATGGTACACTTTCATATCATATGACGTGCTCTTATTTAATATCAAGCAATATCATATGGTATAGACCAGTAGTAAATGTCTCATTTTTTTGTTCCAAAAATATATCAAAGTGGATACCATTTTGAACAACATAATTAATCTTAGCAAAAAAATTAAATTTCAACTTAAAACGAGAGAGAAATCGTCTGTTAAAAATTAAATAGAAAAAGGTTAGAACTTAGAAACCTTCCATAAGTGGTATGTGGACTGATGTGGCGCTGATATGGATGAGTTACTGACACTTACTCACCATAAAGTTACTGACATATCAATTCTAATTATACTAATAACCTATGGCCTTACATTTTAGCATCTCAACGTTGCGAAAATATAACACAACATCAATAAAGAACCCCATTTTAATAGAACACTTCTACTATGTATAAAGTATTGGTGCTTTAATATAAAAGTTGAAGTTGTAACATAACGTTAAATGTATAAGTTCATGTGGTACCATAAAGGAATTTATATCATCACATAAAGGTATAAGTTCAAGTTGTACCATAAAAAAATTTGTACAAAAAATATAGGTACAATATGAAGTTGTACCATAACGTTAAAGATAAAAAAGTACAAATCTATACCACCAAATCTATATGGTGGCGTCTTCGGTGCACTCACTTTTTTGTGTGCATTCAGTGCACTCGCTTCATAATCGTCATTTTAAACATGAGATTTATGTCAAAATGATCTCAATCATCACTTATGATGTGATGAACAATAACGCACATGAATTTGCCCAAAAACCATGAAAGATTTGCTTTAATTTTAAGGATTTAGAGTTTAAAGATCTAGGGTAAGGGTTTATAGTTTGGGGTTTAGGGATAGAACTCAAAATTGGAGGTCTAGGGCTTAGGGTAATCCGCTAATTAGTTTTTATCATATGTTATATCATCATATTATACTAATTCTACAAATTAAAATTCAAAATCCGACTCCTTAAGACTAGTTTTTGAGTTGGGTACATTGAACGCACTCATTTTTGTGAGTGTGCCGAAGTAGTCACCATATATATATATATATAATTCCTCATTTTAATAAATGACAAGTACCAACCTGCGATCCGTGAAAGACCCATTTAAAGAATCTCGTAGACAAAGAGCCACTTGTTAGTAAAACTAAAGCATGCCCTTGCCCTAGTGAGAATATACTAAAAATTGTTCACAAGATTTTAATTTAATATCTTTTTTCTTCTCAGTTGAGCCGTTTAGGAGTGGTTTGGAAGAATGAACTGAGCTTTACCATTGTGCTTGAAGTTAGTTTAGTAGATTCCATTGTTTGAATGAAAAAAAAAAAAAAAGAAGTTAAAGATCAATTAAATGGAGTTTCGGATTCACTAGCTTCTAAGTTTTTCATCTCAATTCACTTTCTAGAAAGTAAGATGTATCGAGATATTTTGATGAACAAAAAATATAAGGAACTGGAGAATCATTAATGTCAAATGAAGCATGCATTTATATTGAATTTATGTTAAGATAATCTACCTATAATTTTTCTTCTTGTACTACATTACAAACAAAATGAGAAATCATCACAGTTTTTTATTGATTTTTCACCGACGCTTCATACTGATGTTCTTTCAACAGGTTTTCGTCTAATGCCTGTTAAGTCGGATTGTACTAGGCGAGCATACAAGTGGTTCAACAACTTAGGGCACAATTCATGAGTTTTTTAACAAAAGATAATCATATTGTTTGATAGAAAGATCATAAATTACACCCTCGAACCAACTTAGGAACGAAAATCATACAATCGACACGAAGTCGGTGCAAAGAAAGGGTCTTCCAAGCCACAAGATGGACTATCCTATTGCGAATCCAACCTACAAATCAAACATGAAAACCACTATCCAGAGCCATCATACGCATAATTTCCTCAAAAATAGCCCCAACACAGTTGTATCGTGCATCCTTGGCATTAATCTTGTCAATGAGCACCTTAGCATCGTCTTCAAATCGAACTTGATCAAGGCCAAGGTCCTGACACTTCTGATTAGTTTTGCGGAGGACAATAGTCTTAATCATAAGGTGTCAACAATATTCTCAAAAAACAACTCTATGTCTAAGACAACAACGCCTCCTTCATGCTTTAAGATTAGCCCTCCTGCTGAATGTGAGTCAACACATACCAAACCATACCACATACATATAACAGAGGATGAATCTCCCATCTCTAGATTCTGCTGCAAAGGAAGCTGATTCTGAGCCAACCTATCTTCTGGCTGGTACACCATTCATGGAGGTGCTGATGATATTGGCGCATCATATGAGGAATTTGAAATTGTTTGCCATAAAAAAATAACTCAATTTCTAGACTTCTAACTACGCCATAAGAGTGCAACCAGGGCCATAATCTGGGCCGATTGGGTCATCCTAAGCAAGCATTTTTTGAGAAAAAAGTGGTAATGCTTGACGCGGTAACCCTTGCCCGAGATGCTCCAAACCCGAGTGAGTCTAGAGGGTTATTGATAACGATGTAATTGCACATGTTTGCACCCCTAGTTCTTATCCGTTTGTGGGACATAGTCGTGTATTTTGGGCCTATTTTACGCCGGGTTGTGCTACTTTGTCATATTTCAGGTCCCAGACGTCGAAAGAAAGGCTAAGCACGAGTTTTGGGGCATTCGGAAGTCATTCGGTCGAGCTGGAACCAAAGCACGGGCGCGCCTAAATCAAAGTACGGTCGTGTTCCTGGACCGTGTTTTTACTGCCGAGTCTTGATCCAAGTTTGTCCTGCGCTGGCCCAAAACACGGGCAGGGCTGACCCAAAACACGACTGTGTCCAACATTAGGCACGAACGTGTTTTCCCCAAAATCTGGCTGTGTTTTTAACACGTGGCAAGGGCACGGGCGGGCTGGAGCAAAGCACGGCCGTGCCCTCGACCGTGTATTTCCCAGTGATGCCCTTTTAGGCAGATTTCAGCCAAAAGAGAAGGGGTTCCGAGTTTTAGAGAGACAGAGCGATTCCTAGAGAGAGAAAGCGACGAACAAGAGTTCCCAAGTGCCCTAGCTTGATCTTCATCACCATTGGAGCCTGGCTTGAGCTTGGAGAAGTGTCGATCGACAACCAGGAGCATAAATCCATCCTTCACAGTATGGTTTCCGCATCTGAATATGCTTTTGCTTCTCTCTCCATGGAGTAGTTATCCCATTCATCTGGGTATGGAGAACCCTAGATTTGTATGTTAGGTCTGATTGTATGAACCCAAGTACAGATTTTATGATTTGATTATATTCAATTGAGGCTTGAATGATTGAATGACTTGAATCCTGATCAAATTCCTGTTATTTCTGCTTTAGCCTAGAATGAGAATATCTGCCTAGGTTAATAGAGCACCCTTAGTTGAAGGTAGTGAATTGGCAACTTTAGTCGAGGAGCCAGTTCACTATTCTGTACCGAATTTACTTCGGTAGTGGAGGTTTGGTTCGTTAGGGCCTCAATCTGTTTACTCCAGTTGAGGTTAGTCGCCCGCTGGGCACTCAGATTGAGAGGGTCTGGAGACCTTTAGTCGAGACTTCAGACTGTTTAAGAACCTTCTGCAGTATAACTATCATAGAAACTGAACTTGGTAATTGCAATCCGGCTTAAGTGCAGTCTAGGGGGAACCATATCCGGGTGACCTCTCTCGACTTGATAACAACCGTTTAATTGCTTTGCTTGTTTGCTTAATTGAACCTGCACTAAAGTTTCACCGCTAGATAATAAGAATTCACTGAGTAGTCATCACATCTAGGACCCGGGTTGACAATAAAACCCAAACCCGCTATACTACGCTTTAGGAAGTGGTTATACTTGGCCATTTTCTAGGGTGACAGTAGGAGTGAGTCGGTTATATCGATTGGGCACTCCAAAAAGAGGTGCTCTATCGTTTCAGATTTCGAGTACCTAATTTCATCACCTTCAACGGGACTGGAGATCAGTCCACCGTCGAACACGTTGGACAATTTACTATTCAGTGCGGGGATGTAATGATCTTTTAAAATTACGTTTGTTTGGCAACTCGTTGACCGGTCCCGCATTCGTGTGGTACGTCAACTTGCCATCGTACTCGGTTCAAACATGGCAGTAAATGGAACAGATGTTCCATGCTCAGTTTTACAGTTCTAAGCCAGAAGTGATAGTGGCAGACTTATCACGAATGTGCCAACAGCCAGGAGAAACGGTGGAATACTTTTTAACTAATTTTAAGAATGCAAGAAATCGTTGTTTTGTTAACTTAACAGAATGCGAATTTGTTAAACTTGACTAAGGAGGATTGAATTTTGACTTTTCAAAAATCAGATTTGATTTTCAACCAACTTTACAAAGATGGTCAAATTAAATCAACTAGAGGGCATACTATCCGTCAGCTGAGAAGTTTAAAGGAAAACGATATTGTAAGTGGAATAACAGTGTACTGTTTCGAAATATGGTGCAGAATGCCATTGAAAAAGGTCGGTTCAAGTTATCGGAGCCGAGGAAGGACGCCATGCTTGTTGACATTGACTCGTTTCCCAACGTTGTAGCATCAATATGGTCTACGCTGTGGGGGTGGGGGGGGTAACGTTGTCTAAGCTCCTATGTACCACGGAGGCTTTAGTCCTCAAAAAATTAGGAGTATGGAAGGAAGATCATATAACATTGTAGTTTCAAACGTAACGTTGTTAAGTAAGGCGTGCTTGAGTTCATTGTTCGAGATTGTGAGACCATCGATGTTCGCATTAGATGATCCACCAAACTCCAAAGTACAAGTCGATAATGAGTAATCCACCTCAAGAGACGATGGTGGAGGCCGAAATCATGGCCTTGCGAATAAATTTGGCCATTTATCAATGTGAACAAAGGCTTATTTGCAGGGAGCATGTGTTCATGGCGGACTGTGTTCCAGATGATGAGTTTTCGATCAACGGAAAGGGTTCGATTTATGAGATGGAAGAAGGGATTGCCTTCAACACTGTGAAAAAAATCAACCTTGGCGCGCAGGACGATCTACGTCTAACCTTCATCAGTGCCAACTTGCCTAAACCCAATAGGTATGAATTGAAGGAGCTCATGAATGAATTTAAATATTACTTTTTTTGTGTTTATAATGAAATTTTGCATGAGCATGTCACAATCTTGTTGCTTAGCCAAATTATCAAGCTTTATTTTAAATGGTCGAGTAAGTGAAAATCTTTAAACTGTAGTAGAAGCTAGCAGCGTTGAATTCACAAAATCACAGCCGCTAGAGTGAAGTTGTAGTTTGTCGTGCTATATAGTGTGCTTCTTTTGACCAGAGTTGTTAAGTATGGCTGGCCAATTGTGATATTGTTGATATTGCTACAGTCCGGAGATTAAACTTGGTTTTATTTTTCATTTTTGCCGATCTCATGATAATGAGAGGGGCCAAACATAATTGGTTGTTATATATGTATATATTAATATATAGAAAGTGAAAGTGGATTATACAGCATGCAGAAGGAGGGGATAGCAATCAATACCTAATATCGAGAGCTACTATAAAGTGGCCGGAGACGATTTAAAAAAACCCTAGCTCCGAAAATCTCGGAGCGGCGCTGCTTTCTGCTCGGTGCCTTGAGCTACTCGCGACTCATGACAGGAGCTGCGCCGGGGGTCCCTCCCCCGGACGACGGCCAGCAGGAACCAAACGGGGGTATCCGGAGGGCTCCGCCGACTACCTCATCCCCAAACGCCAAAGGAGATCGGGAAACGCAGCAACCTAAGAAGAAGGCCAAACCGATGAGAGAAAACCCGTTGTTTAGTGATGAAGAACTTATGGAGGATGCTCGCAAGCTCGTCAACGACCTGCATGCTGAGGACGACTGGTACGTCGCAGAATCAGATTCGGAAGATGTGGCTGCCGCTATGCGTGAAGATGATCTAGATGATATAATCCCTGAAGACGATGATCCACGCTGCCCTACCATAGCGTACACGGCTATGGAGAAGCAAAGATGGAGGCGTAAATGGCGATCTGCCCTGATAGTTACTGTTTTGGGACGAACCTTCCCATACCCCGTGATCTCACGAAGACTGGAAACGCTTTGGGCAAAATGTGGTGCTCTGCAGATCTCAAGTCTTTCCTTTGGATTCTATGATGTTCGTTTCTCCAGTCAGTATGACTACGAACAGGCAGCCATTGGAGGCCCTTGGATGATTGGTGATTATTACATAACGGTACGTCCGTGGCGTCGCAACTTTAACCCCAAGCTAGCCGAGGTGGCATCTACTATGGTTTGGGCGAGACTACCAGGACTTCCTAGTGAGTTCATTAATAAGGAGGCTGTGGAACGAATTGCGTCAAGAATTGGGCGACCAGTGCGAGTTGACCGGGCAACTCAGCTAGGGGACCGAGGATGCTTTGCCAGGGTCTGTGTGGAAGTGGAACTGACCAAACCATTGCTCTCGCAATACAAGATCGAAGGAATAACGTATTACATTGAGTACGAAGGCTTGCATCGTATTTGCTCTGAATGTGGTATGTATGGTCATATGAAAGTGACATGCCCAAAGCTGTTTAAGGTTGTGGAACCAGTGGTTGAACCAAAGAACATGACAACAGGAGAAGGCACTCAACGACCCCTTTACGGGGAATGGATGACTGTGAAACCAAAGTGGAAGAGCTCGAATGGAAAACAAATAGAGAAGGGAAATAGCGGGAGACAACAGCGAAGCGCTACTCCCTCGGAAGAGGTTGGACAAGGTTTTGGGTCGCGATTTGCGGCACTAAATGAGGACGAACAGGTACAAATGGGCGTTGGCATGAATGAAACAAGGGTTGAGCTCCAGGAGAATGTCGTGGAAGAGACGCCAGGTGGAGGACAGGAACCTCAACCCCCGTCGGTTGCTACGTCGGAGAAACAACCGGTTGTATCCCACGAGGCCCGACCCAATGATGAGGTCAGGGCAATGGAAAGAGTGGCAGAGACGAGGTCGAGTGCCGAAACTAGAACAACAGACAAGATTCCCCACACTAGTCAGTCCGGGAATGGACCAACTGAAATACAAATGAACCTGAAGGGGCCGTCGAGTGGGGGGAAAGGAAAAGGAACAAAGAATCCCAATAACAATGCCAAGCTGAACGGGGACACAAGTATGCAGCATAATAGCCGAAAGAGGGGGCTGGGACCCAATTCTACAACAACTGAGGGTGCGGGGAACCTATCCCCATCAGGACATAGATGAGGATCCTATGCTACAACTGCCGCGGACTGGGTAATAAGCGTGCAGTTAACTCTTTGCGAGCACTTGTGCGTCGCACTTCCCCCCATGTGGTTTTCCTCATGGAGACAAAACAGACTGTTGACGAAAATGAAGCTTTACGAGAACTCTGTGGTTTCAAAAACGGGGACTGTTGGCCTGCAACGATTACGCCGAGAAATAAAGCTGGCGGAATCAGCATTTGGTGGGGTGAGGACTTAATGATAAATCGTGTGGACTTTTCCCTAAACTTTATTGACATCGCAGTTCAGGAGGAGGACGGGGTTAGGTGGCGGTTTACTGGGATATATGGCTGGCCAAAAGGGAGTGAGAAGTGGATGACTTGGGACCTTTTCAGGCGGCTTGGACAGCAATGGGATGGGCCTTGGTTGTGTGGTGGTGACTTCAACCAAGTCAAAAGCGCCGACGAGAAGAGGGGAGGAAGATGCGCGCATGAACCAGAGATGAGTCGTTTTGGTGACTGCCTGACCGACACTGGCCTTCAAGATTTGGGCTTCCATGGGTGTCCCTATACGTGGGAGAATCGTCGGCATATAAATGGTTTCATTGAAGAAAGGCTGGATCGTTTTGTAGCTAATGATAAATGGAAAGAGCTCTTCCCATACAATCATGTTCAGCACTGGGATCGGGCGAACTCAGATCATCGGCCGATTATTTGTGATACTCGAGGCTCGGAGGATGTTGAGGTTAAATGGGGTCGAGCGTTTCGGTTCGAGCCGCACTGGTCAAAATATGATGATTGTTTGAAAACTATTGAGGAGGTGTGGTGTAACTCGAGAGGCCAGGATATCCTAGCTAAACTTGATCAATGCCGCTCTCAACTGACACAATGGAGTGAAAAGGAATTCCCACCTTTTGCTAAACAGAAGTATCGGATAACTCGTGCCATCCGGGTCCTAGAACGTAGACCTAAAACTGAGGAAGTGCTTGCCCAGTGCCGCCAGTTGGAACAAGAGATGGCGGAAGTGTTGGATAATGAGGAACAGTACTGGAGACAGAGGTTAAGGGCAGATTGGTTAAAGGGCGGGGATAAGAACACCAACTATTTTCACCGGAAAGCATCGACGAGGCGGAAAAGAAACACCATCAGGAGAATGAAAGACGAAACAGGTCGTTGGTTTGTGGGGCAAGAAGAAGTTTCATAGTGCTTGGTGGATTACTATGCTGGACTGTTCACTGCTGGTGCGACGCCGCATGATTGGCCTGTTCTTGAGTCTATCTCCCAGCGGGTGACTGAAGACGATAACTTGCGCCTTCTCCAACCATTCACGAGGGAGGAAATTTTTGGAGCCCTGAAGCAAATGGGAAAGCAGAAAGCCCCAGGACTGGATGGGTTCACAGTTCTCTTCTTTCGCAGGTACTGGCATGTAATCGGGGAGGAAGTCTGGATGGCCATTCTGAAGATTTTGGAGACGAGAGTGCTGCCGGAGGGCCTAAACCACACCCTTATAGCCCTAATCCCAAAAACAAAGAAGCCAGTGTCCCCGAAGGAATTTCGCCCGATCAGCCTTTGCAACGTCCTCTACAAGATTATTTCGAAGGTCCTAGCGAATCGACTAAAGACAGTGCTGGACCGTATTATCTCCTCTGAGCAAAGTGCCTTTGTACCTGGGAGATTCATTACGGATAATGTCATGGCAGCTTTCGAATGCTTCCACACCATGAAGAAGAGTAAGAAACGTAAGCATGGTTTTTTCGCAGCAAAAATTGATATGGCGAAAACCTATGACAGGGTGGAATGCAAGTTTTTGGAGGGAGTAATGCAGAGAATGGGCTTTGTGGAAGGTTGGATCAAACTCATAATGATGGGTGTGACAGCTGTGTCGTACTCTGTGCTAGTGAACGGCTATGCCTCCCAGATTTTTGTCCCTAGCAGAGGAATCTGGCAGGGCGACCCTTTGTCACCCTATCTCTTCCTGCTTTGTGCGGAGGGATTATCGGCATATGTAACAAAGGCAATGACTGAAGGCAGATTACATGGCCTTCAGGTGACAAGGGGTGCCCCGGTGATTACCCATCTATTTTTTGCTGACGACAGTATCCTTTTTGCTAGGGCAACACAACAGGAGAGTCTGGAGTTGAAGAGGATTTTACAGGCGTACGAGAGAGAATCTGGTCAGCAGGTGAACTACCAGAAGTCTGAAGTCTCTTTCGCTACAAATGTCAACCCTCACAACAAGCTTATCGTTGGCGGAACTCTTGGAATGCCAATTGTAGAGAAGCAAGACAAGTATCTCGGATTGGCCACTGAGGTCGGGAGATCTAAAAAAGAGCTCTTTGCGGGATTAAAGGAGCGGGTTAGGAAGAAACTGAAGGGATGGAAGGAGAGAACTATGTCAGTGGCTGCTCGAGAGACTCTCATAAAATCAGTTGCCCAGGCGCAGCTGAGCTATGCCATGTCTGTGTTCAAAATCCCGGATGGCATTCTGGACGAGATCCAAAGCTTAATCATCAATTTCTGGTGAGGTCAAAAAGGGAACGAACGAAGAGCGCATTGGCTGCGTCGGGAGGAACTAATTACCCCGAAGGAAGAAGGTGGAATGGGCTTTCGGGACATGAAAGGCTTCAACAAAGCTCTGTTGGCAAAGCAGCTGTGGTCACTGAGTCAGCGGCCGGAGGCACTTATCTCAAAACTTTTGAGGGCTAAATATCACAAACAATGCACGATTTTGGAAGCCCGTTTGGGCGGCCAACCTAGCTACATTTGGCGGAGCATCATGGGCATTCAAGAGTTCTTATGCCAGGGTCTTCGATGGAGAGTTGGAAACGGAGCACAAGTCAGAATTTGGGGCGATAGTTGGCTGCCTGATGGGGAGGTCGCTTTCATAAGTTCAGTCCCCAGAGTGTTGCCTGTTGATTCTTTTGTTCGTGAGCTCATTGATCTGGTCACAGACCAATGGGATATCGATCTAGTTGGAAGATGTTTCTCGGCGGAGATTGCAGAAGCGGTGTTAGCCATCCCTCTCCGTGCCAGTGATGAGCAAGATCGGCTTATTTGGCGGCATAACTATCATGGTGGCTACACTGTGCGAGATGGCTACAGCAAATGGCTGGATGACTTCAAGCTGAGGGAAGGAATAGCGATGCAAGGAAGCCCCGAATTTTGGAAGAAGGTCTGGAAGCTTAATATCCCACCCAAGGTAAGGCACTTCCTATGGAAATTCACTAGAGAAATTTTACCCACGGGAGTGAAAGTTAATGCGAAGAATGACCAACGAAGCAAGACATGCCCATTCTGTAATGAACCCGAGACTCAGAAGCATTATTTTCGCGAATGTGCGTGGAGTTCCAGGATTTGGCGGGCGTCTCCATTCGCGAAGCTGTTCGAAACTCAGAACTATGGGAATTGCCTGGAGTGGGTGGTCGAGGTGATGAATGAGGTCCAGCAGCCGATTGTCGAAGGCTGGGCGATGCTCCTGTGGGCTTTGTGGAAGGAAAGAAATGCACAGCTGTTTAATGGAGCAAAGTGGCCGGAGCATGAAATTGTCCTGAAGTCCCAGAGTCTGTTAGAAGAGTACCAAGTGCAGCAGCAGCGGAATGACAATATGTCTGTAGGTACTGAGCATAGGAAGTGGAGAAGACCACCGACAGGCTGGACGAAGGTAAATACGGATGCAGGGATGCTAGCAGGAGGGGGGTTCGGGCTGGGGGCGGTGATTCGCGATCACAATGGCAGGCTAATAGCGGCGGCCGCGAAGAACATTAGAGGTAGCCACACAGTTGAGATGGCGGAGATCCTGGCAGCGGAGTTTGGAGTTCAAATTGCAAATCAGTTGGACGTGACTCGGGTAGCGCTTGAAGTTGATTCTCTATGCCTTGTTCGACATATGCCGGAGGAGGGTGAGGTCAGTTCCGAAATGGGCATCATATGCCGAAATATTAAGAAACTAATGAGGAGACCAGGGATTGCAGAAGGCACCATCAGCCACGTTCGACGGGAGGCAAATCAGGCGGCGCACATTATGGCCCATAGTAAAACCAATTGGGAGACGAGAGAAGTTTGGCTCGACAGAGCGCCTGTTTTTTTGTTAGACCAGCTACGGCTGGATGATGTAGCCATTGACCTGATTTAATTCTCACAGGTCCCGTTCAAAAAAAATATATATAAAGTGAAGTTACTGTTGCCTAATATTTTGCTATGATGCTCCTTAATATTTTGCTTATACTCATTTTGCTACTATATGTCGGTTGTTTTTTACTTTTTCTCTTTTAATGTTGATGTTTATTCATGTATCACTTTTCAATCTTCAAAAAATTCATAGCTGTAAGTTTTTCTCTTGAAGTTGTAACTTTGTGTTCCATTGTTAATATATAAAAAGTTGAAGTGAGGTTACGGTTGCCTAAACTATTACATTTTGATACCTTAAATTTAATTAAGGGGTCGTTTGGAAGTTGTGATTGTTAGAGTTGTGTTTGTTGAATACATGTATTGTGGACAATACAATGTTTGGAAGTGCCAAAGTGTAAAACAATGCATGCATTGTTTTTGGTAGGTCCCACCAACAATCACAAAAAAATGATGCATTATACAATCTCAACTAAAAGTTGTGATTGTTGCTTTTAGATTTGTGTCAACTTTTTCTTTCCATTTATATCCCTAATAGTTTTTGTCTTAAACTAAAAGTTGACGGTAAATATGATATTTCCCCATAAAAGTAACTTTATGTAAATCAATGAATAAAGTAGAATCTCAACAACCAAACAATGTATTATTAAAATGCATCCATTGTATCAATACATGCATTTGTATTATGGTGATTCATTACAATGCAACGATTTAACATTCGCAACTTCCAAACGACCCCTAAATTACAACTTAGTCACTAGAATTATATTTTACATTTTGATACTCCAAATTTAATTTTAATATAAAATCATTGACCAATTATGTTTTGGTATCTAAATTTTATGTGATTTTTGCACCTACAATTTTTTACTTTTACATATTGATCCAATGTTTAGATTTCACTTGAATCCATTGATCCAATCCACCAATCCTTTTGAACCAATCCATGAATCCAATCCACTATTAGATAAAAGTATAAATTTAGTTTATACCATACAAGATGTTGTACCACTCAATTGTAGGAGAAGATTCATCTATTTTATATTTGCTCATTTCGTGAAACATTAAAAAATGATAAAAGAGAGATGATTCTAAAATATTGCAAGAAAGAAACTCATTTAGTACATTTACGAGGTACTAAAAAAACATCTACTAACTATTTTTTTTTTTAACGTTGATGGGTCGTCTCATTAATACGAAACATGGTGTACATGGTTGAAACAACAATGAAAGGAAGGAAAAGGCCCACTGAAAAAGAAATCTAAACTAGGCTTTACATCGGCCCAACACCCAAACCAAGGCCCAAGGCCTGATCCAAACAAGTGGATCACGAAAGCCTAATCTAGAAACCCTACATCAGTTGACCAAGCATTGCCTGGTGGCCTCCGAAAGCATCCCCTATCTCCAAAAACACGCCGCACCAACTCCTGCCAACATGAGACGCCCTTCGCCGGGGAAGAATCACCAGAAAGGACAACACATCGCCGATGAGAGGACAACGGCCGCAAGAAAGGACATAGGGAACCAAACTCAGAACCTCTCCAAGATCTACCTGCAACAACAGACAAACCAGAGGAGAAACCCCTGAACAAGGACAGAACCGTGGCTCCTCAAACCCACAGATCTGAGCAAATCGGTCAAGAACCCACCACAATAATGCCTTCCCTGCTCTCAAGCTCCCCAAAAGTCTATCCAAGAACACAAAGGCCCATGCATCTCCCAAATCATCCCCAGCTATGGATGAAGAGAATGGAGGTAGATAGAAAAATCAGAGAGGAGAAAGCGAACCGAAAATCGGCACCCTCAAACACCAACTCGGAGATCATCCACACAAGATCTGGAAACCAGCAAGGTGGGAGCAAAATAAATCTCAACAAGGAGGGAGAGAAGTCATCATCCATGGGAAGGAAGAAATCCAGAAAGGGGAGGAACAAGCATGAAACAACAAGGAAAAGGAAAAACAAAATCAAAGAGAAGAAGAGAACAACCTAATAAAAGAAAAGAGAAAGGGACTTGATTTTTTGAGGGCCACCGCCGGATCCAGGGGAAACCAACGGCAGCCCCATGAGATTCAAAAAACTTTGGTGTCTAGAGAGAAGGGAGAGAAAAGAGAACGTTAGAGAGAGAGGTTCCCCAGGCGAAGTTGATAAACATGAAAACATCTACTAACTAAATGTAACAAAAATATGCGACAACTACATTAGCAAGTGTCAATAAATTGCTACGGTGAAAAGGGTTGAATGTTGTATTGAGGGGCAACTAAAAGAATTGGTCAAAACCTTCCATCATCTACTTACTCTTCGTTTCATTTTTCACTCGCATTCCATAATCTTTTCTTTATTTCTTTCTTTGCCTTTTACGTCCAACCCTAATTAGTATATTATTTTTATGTATTTTAATCACAAGTATGAACATGTCCATACACGCTGACCAAAAGTCTAGAGAATTAATAATTGAACCATGAACTACTAACTTTTTCAACTCAATGTCGAGTCCATGGATATGGTTATTACTTACTAGAAAGTCGTCATTTTCCACTATGGGATTTGAAGGCATGAAATTTTAAGCGAGTTCCAGTTAAATTCCTTTTGCTTCTCTCAAGAGTTTATTTTTTTCACCGGGCGAGAATTTTCAACAATTATACATGGAATTTTCAACAATTATACATATCAAATTAATAGTTTTTCTATTTTCTATACAAAATTAAATAATTATCATCTTAAATACATAATAATAAAAGAAACTAAGCCTCAAATATGCAAATTGCAGTTGTGTTCCTAAACTTAATAGATCATTATAATTATAACCTAAATTTATTTTTTGGCATATAAGTTCTCAAAATATTTATGAAGCATTACATTTTAGTAGCTTAAATTTTTGTGTATCACATCTTAGTACCTGATAAATAGGTATGTGTAATTAAAACACCCTCGAATAAATAGGTATCTATACACAACTCATACACATTTAGATTATGAAAATAAATATACATACCCTACCAAACCCATCTACAAACTTTCAAACCTATATATACGTCACTCGTACCCTACCCATAATCAATGATGTCTACTTAGATTTTGGTAAATATCATTTATTAGCCACAATTTTCAAAAAATTTAAATTATACGTTGGCCGCCATATATCTATTGTCAAGTCAATATTACTAACCAAACTACTAACACAAATTAATTTAAGGCTAATAATACTAACAAAACACAATGACGGGCCACATAATACATGCCAATAGGCAATCTCCGCCCCGCGACAAGTCGCGACATCGCCACCTAGTTTTATATATATAGTAAAACACCCATGTTGTCAACTAACATTCTTTCCTTTTATTTTGTGAACTGACCTGTAAAGCTCTTGTATATTTCGTATCTACATGTTCTCTTCGACAATCCCTTAAAAAATCACAATGTATCAATTTAATTATCAACAAAATAACCAAACCCTAAATTAAATTTGTTATTCAAGCAACTCACAAGAGTGGATTAAACTTGTGTCGTCTACCAAAGGTAAGATAGTCTAACGGTAAGGTGTCGCAACAGTGAAAATTTGGAGGTGTAGATCTCAGGTTCCATCCAAGCGAGGCACATTGATAGAGGTGGCTATACGGTCTAATCCGACTCATCCGAGTTGATCCAGTCCCGATCCGGTCTTTTTGGAAATATGAAGAACAAAAACTGGATTGGATACAATCCGGTTTTAACCCGGTCCCGTCTTATTCGGTCCCAGGTGCAAGCTGGTTTCGACCCTATCTGACCCTGTCATAAATTTCAACATCATACATGCCCTTTTACGGAATGCAGACAACCTATTTGTATATAATTTGTAGGAAAAAAGCCAAATATTGTCACATACTAAATTACCAACAAGTTGTCCATTACAAATGCAAAGTCCAATTCAAATTTAAAAGTTCAACTAGGGTGGCGGAGGCCACACTTTACAGCGCCCGCCGGTTACCGATTGATAATTGTTTGCTAGCTCGTCTCCGTGCAAGGGGAAGAATTGAGTTTAAATATATATAAAAAAATCAACTCTATCCCCAATTAGAATAAGTGGGCTTAAATCAAGCTTATCAACCAGCGGGTCGACCCGTCGATTGGCCCATTTTAACTTTGAACTGTTGAAAAAAAACGGGCCGCACACACCCGCTCGTTCGATCCGCTGCAAGGTTGCCAAGTTGGAGGTCACACGGTGTCATTTTTTCATTTAGTATGCGAAAACCCCCTAGATTCGATTTTCCTTTTCGCCTAATCCTATCTTTAGTATTCTAAGTTGAACATTTAAATATTAATGTTATATAAGTGTATATAAGTGTGTGTTAAATTTCATTTCGGTACAAGTACGACATGTTATTCTGGTGTAATTTTACATATTGTTACTCATAAGTTAGATGACCCTCAAGTCATTTACTCGACCGGGTCAACGAGCTAACCCGGGTTGAAAATCTTGGCTTAAATGAAAATGCATGTTATCGGTAAAGGGGAAAAAACTGAGATTTAATAATAAATTAACTGGGAAACAAAATAATAAAGAAATTAACCATCTTTCCTTCATATTCTTATAGACTATAAATCTTCCTCTCGTTGATTTACCCATCTGGGCATATATGATCCAAAAGGGTCGTCCTGTCTGGTAGGGATGGGTAATGGGCGGATTGGGTGAGTTTTCGTCTTAAATTGACCAATCCGCTTACTAGCGGGTTGAAATAATTGTGACTCGCAATCCACCCACATTCTTATGCGGGTCGGGTTGGATGGGTGATGGATAGGGGCGATTGGGTCGTGGGTTAACTCGCAAAAATAATTCTCCAACTAGCTATTAAGAAGTTGACTAACATTTATAATAAGTTCATTGCAAAGTAGTAAGATTGTATCAATTTAGACACTTATTACTCTCTCTAGTGAATCCATGTAGTATTTGCATAAAATATTTTACTACTCTATCCACCAATTGTATAGAGAAAACTTACGCATGTTGTGATTTTGATACAATTAATAA